GCCAGGACTCCTGGGTTCTCTCTCTGGCTCTAGGAGGGGAGTGGGGGCTGGCTGTTATAGCAGGGCATCAGGATTCTGAAGTCCCTGAGGGAATTGCAGCCTGACGCTTGGCACAGAACTAGGAAGGGAACACAGGTGTCCTGGTTCCCTGTTCCCAGCGCTGCGTAGGGTCACTCCTGGCTCTGCTCTGAAGCGCTACGTGTGACTCCCTGGCTTTTCCTCTCCCCATTGACGCTGCCCCAGGTGCTCTCTTGCCCGGCTCACTGTCCTGCTATGTCCCTTTGCAGATGCTGTTTGGACTCGAGTGCCCAAAGAGATCTTGTGCTGTAGGATTCCCCACAGATTCTTCATCGACCCCAAGTCTCCTCCCATTCACCTGCCCCAAAGCGCTTCCCATCCACTGCCCTACCCAAAGCCAGAACTGATCTGCCGGCCTGTGAGCTGGGATGGCTGAGATGAAGCGGCCGGTCATTTCCCACCCTTGGGAGGAGGAGGAGTGCTTGGAGTACTACGGCATGGTGTCCTTGCACCACATGTTCGAGGTGATCGGCTCCCAGCTGACCGAGAATGATGTGGCCGTGCTCTCCTTCCTCCTTGATGAGACCCAGCCCTGGACCCACCCGCTGGACCCCAGGCTGTGGGCTGTGGTGGAGGAGGATGGAGCAGAGACCCCCTCGCCTCTTCTGGAGAGCTGGCAAAGGAGGAGCCGGCGCTGGCAAGCTCCGGTGGAGGCAACTGGGAGCCTAGAGCTGGTGGGCGAGCGGCACCAGCCCAGGAACGGGGTGGAGCTGCTGCTGGAGCTGGAGAGGAGAGGAAGATGTGATGAGACGAATTTCCTGCAGCTCCTGCAGCTGCTGCGGTTGCTGACCAGGCATGACCTGTTGCCTTACGTCACCCTGAAGAGGCAGCGGACAGGTACCAGGGTTTGGGAGGAGAAGGGGGATTGGCTCCAGGCTGTGCTTGTGGGGGTGGAGAGCTCTGAGGTGTGTCTGCTCTGAGCCAGACTTGGGACAATGGGGCATACAGGGGGATGGTTTCCGTCCACTGAATCCCGCTGTGGTGCTATCCCAGGGGAACTCACCTCTCTCCTCCCCCTTAGTGTCCCCTGAGCGATACACCTACGGCCCGTCTGTGACAGCTTCCGACCGGCAGATGGACAGTTGCCTCGGCTCAGCCTCTGCAGAGACCCAGCCCGAGCAGTGGGAGACAGGTACGATGGCAGGCTATGCTGGGGTGGGGGGAATGTACTAACCCCTTCCCCTTCTGCATAGCTGGGAACGTGACCGCAGGCCATTGGCCTCTCTCATTCGAGGAGGCCTCAGCACCCTGGGGACGAGCATGGATCTCAGCCCTGGCGTGCGGCGATGGAGCAGTGCCTGCCCGCTGGAGGTGTGGGGAGCTGAGGGCAAGGGCTGGGTGGTAGGTGGGTCCTAAATCCCTCTCCTCTCCCAGTGCCAGGGATAGAACCCAGGAGTCCTGGTGCCACTGCTTTAGCCACTAGACCCCATTCCCTTTGCGGAGCTCTGCTCTGAGCCCTTGCCCTGTCCTCTACAGGGCTCCTGTTACCCATACCTTCCTTGCCTTCTCCAGGCTCCAGCTCCAGCAAGAGGAAACGGGTGAGCAGAGGCAGGGCACGGGCCAGTGCCCTCGGCAGGCGGCGCGGAGCCAAGACAGTCCCTGCCCTCAAGCAGGAGCCCCCGTCCCCCACCAAAGTGACTTGTGGTAGGTGTCTGGCTGGCTCATGCCCAGGGTCCCCCCACCTTTGGACCAGGCCATGGAAAGGCTCCGGTTCCCAGTGGGGGATAGATTTGAGCCTCCTGCCCTCCCCCCAGCTGGGGTGGGGCAGGGATGCTGGTCTGAGTCTCTAGCCAAAGTGCAAGCCCCCTTCCGTGTCAGCGACTTCGAGGGGGGGCTGCGCAAGTCCAGTGGGGTGCCTCACCCCAGCCCTGTGGGGCCTCTCTGGGGTGGGGGAGCAGGGAGCCCTGGCCCACTCCTGTGAGCCTGTGGGTCCCGTCCCCCTGGCTGTCCTGCTCTTTCTTCTCTCATGGCTCTAACTGTCCGAATGGCTGCACCTTGCGAGAGGGCGGGAGAAAACGCCTGAGATGTGCCGGCCCTCGGGTGCCAGGCGCTGGCCTGGGCGGGGCCTGACTTCCACCCGTGTTATATGCTGGTCTAGGGGCTGAGCTCAGGCCAGGCTAGCTAATCCCCGGGCCAATGCAGACTAGGATGAGCAAGCAGAGGATTTAATGGAGGCAAATAACTGAGCGAATGCTGGTTCCGCTGCAGGAAATTCTAATCCCAAACCAGATCGATTCCAGCTTTGTGTCTGTACAGCCCCTAGCGCGGGAGCGCCTGGTACGGGACTGAGGAGCTTGGGTGCTATTGCAGAGCAGAGAGCTGAGATTATTGATGCTTATTTCTTTAAATCCTGCCTATGGTACCCTAGCTCGTGGGACTGCTTTGTGTCCCCCTCTTGAGGTGTCACGGGGTTCAGCTCTGCCCTCCGTCTGTTCCTCAGACACTGCCTTTAGACTAGCAAAGGCCAGTGAGGCTGGCTCCTGCAGTGGTTGGTTGTGCAAAGTGCCAGTCCCAGGTGCTGCCGAATTCCTGGGTTCTAGGCCCGGCTCAGCCGCTGCCCTGCTGGGGGGTTTTAGGCAAGTCACACTGTGCCTTTCTGTGGCTCAGTTTCCCCATATGTAACCTAGAGAGAACAATCCTGAGCACTTGGTAAAGTGCCTTGAGATCTCTCGATGGAAGCACTGTCGGAGCCAGGGTTTAGCACTGTTCAGCTCCGGGAGTCCACAGACCGTGACTAGAGGTCAGGGCCTGATAGTCAAACACGGGCCCTCTGAGCTCCTCCTGCTTGGGGGGGCCCCCTCTAGCAGGTTCTGCGGGGGGGGCTTCTAGCAATATGGAAGCTGCTTGGTGTCGGGCACGCCCTGAGGGCAGACGAGGTAGTGGAATGATCACGTCTGACCTTAAATTCTAGGAATCTAGCCTGGCTCATGGCCGTTCCCAAATATCCAGTTAGCTGTGATAGACCCCAGATGCTGCCCTTCATGGGGGAAACCGGCTCAGTTCCAAGGTGGTGGCCAGGATTTCTATCTCCAAGACCAGCATATAACCCCTGCGCCCCGCTCAGCCAGCCGCGTGCCGAGCACCAGCATCACCACTGCTCTGTGTCCTGTTGTCTGTCAGTGCGATGCGAATGACCAGAAAAGCAAACTGCACAAAAACGCTCTCTTCCCGTTTGACCAATTTGCAGGCCATGGGTTCTAACGAAGAAGGTTCAAAAATAATTCAATGAGTGTCAATACTGCAACTTCACGGTGCAGCTAAGCCATCCGGCGGGTAGGTGCACGGATCGGACCGTAAGCTCCCTTCCACACTAGATTGTTGCCTGTCTGTTTGATAATGTTACCTTGCTTCTTGGGGGCACAAATCCCAGGACCGCTGGCGAGGTCCAGACGGCAGCTCTGCATTCGTAACATTCCCGAGCCGCAGGAGGCTGTGCCCTCCTTTCCAGGCTAGGGCCTGGTGACCGGTCTGATTTTCCTTGCTATCACGATTTTTTGTTGCTGCTGCTGCTACTTGATTTCTGCCAATTCTCTCTCAATCCACCGTTTAAATTCCAGGTTACTAAGCAAAAGTTGATGATAAAGAGACCCTGTGTCTCTAATGCAAGCTACTCAGAACTGTCTCGCAAAGGTAACTGACTCCAGCGCACCCAATCTCGCCTGCAGTTGTCGGTGAACCCCATCCTGTTTTGAATGTGTGCTCTAAACCCCCACTGCAGGCTCTGACAGAGGGCTCCCCCCATATGCATGCTGATCCACAGAGACCTCAGCACTGCTGAGCCCACGCCCCCATGGGACAGCTCCTATGTCCCTGCCAAGAGGGTCCGGCCGCTCCAGAAGGGCACGGCAGGGAGTCTGTGCCACAGACCCCCAGCAGGGTCTGCTGGGAGCGGCTGCTGCATGCCAGCTCGCATGCTGGGGTGCCAGTGGGAACGGGGGAATGGACCGAGTAACCCCCAAACCCCAGTGTGCTGGATTCCTCCCAGACTCCATCCAGGAGCGGGCAGCCGGTGGTTCATGTCTCAAAGGGTCCCCAACCCATGCTGCTGGAGCCATTAGAACAGGCCAGCTGCCCGGCCCATACGCCCCCCAGCCACTCCTCTGCACAGCCTGGTTCACAGCCCACCCCTGCTGTGTCACTGGCTCCATGCTCTCCTGCTAAGCAAGGATGAGCCTGCAAGTGCTCCCCCGATTCGCTGGGGGGCGCCTCTCAACCCTCCGGCCTGGTGCCGTCCAGCAGTCAGCCGCCGGCCCCCCGCCCCCGCAGCTGCGGTTCTTTGCCGTATTGATGCCCGCAATGATGTCTTGCTGTTACCATGTGCTAAAAACGTTGAACCCTGTTTCTCTCGGTCCACAGTTGAGATCAAGCCCCTGGAAAAGCATAAGTATCGGCCCATGCAAGCGGGCCGAGTGCCAGGCTCTGGTAAAAACCCAAAGTCACTTTAGAGCATAGCCCCCACAGTATCCTGGTGCCCGGACAGCCCCTGGTCCCAGCAGCTCTCTGCCTGTTAGCCGGGCCGGGAGGGACAGGGCCTGGGTCCAGGTCTGGATGGAACGGGCTCTGTGCAGACCTGGCAGCAGAGGTTGTCAGCGCCCGTCCTGGTGAGGGACTAGCTCACCCACCCCACGTGTGGGGAATCCGGGCTGCTCGCCCCGCCCCTCTCACGATGGCATGTGGGGAGCGGTCAGAGCAGCAGCCCCCACTCCGCGGTGCTTGGTGGTTGACAGCATTGAGCGGCTTGCTTTGTGCTACCCATGGCTTTCCCCAGCTGCTGGCAACAGTTTGTCCCCTCTGGGGCGCTGGGCATGCCTTGTCCACCTCCTATTCCTTCAGGCCTCCACGGGGCCACTTGTCTGGGAGGGGGCAGCAGTCCCAAATGTCTGTCACCTCAGCAGCTGCTCAGGGCCCCATCTCTCCCAGGCACAGGGGGCAGGTTTGATCCCTGTGGGGAGGAGGTGACCCCAGTCCTGCCCCGCCAGCCCTTCCAAGCAGGGCGCAGGATCCCAGTGTGTTAATGAGGACGGCTGCCCCCCTCTGTTCCTGGATTCAGGGTTCCCTTGAGCCAAGCCTCCAGGCACAGTGGGTGGTGTTGTGTCCCAGCTGTGTGTGGTGTCAGTACAACGGAAGGAGGCTGTCAGCCGCTCAGTGTGTCCCTGGCATCTGGAGGAGCAGGCTCGGGCGGGGGATCTGAGCAGGGTTGGGATTGCTGCCAGGGCACCCTGTAAACCCCCCCCTCTCCACCCCCCCACCCCCCAGTCTGGATTGCCTGACTCCCGAGTGCTCTGAACCCTGGAGAGGCAGGGACTCCGACCACCGCTTGCGCTGGCCTCCCAGACAGATCACAGCCCGAACGGGTGAGAAGGGCTCTGGGCAGGGTGCCAAGCCCAATGGGCATCCTGTCTTGGCACACCTCTGCCAGCCCCTTGCCTGTCCGAGTGCCTCACCACCACCTTGCCCTCTGGTTGGGCATGACTTTAGCTGGAAGGTGGGGGGTGTCTCGGAGTGTGAGCAGAGCAGTTGGGTTGGGGGGCTGGGCTCTGGGCGGGGTGGCCCTGGCAGTGGAGGCCAGGGCTGTGACCGCACTCTGAGTTAATGCTTCTACAGGTGAGGACCACAAGACAGAGCCATTAAAGCAGACGGCCTTGTCGAGCGTATGTAACACCCACCTGCCTCTCGGGTTCTTTATTTGACCGTATCTTGCTCTGGAGCCATTGGTTTCCCTGTGACACCCCCCTTTCGATTTTGGCCTGACGGGCGGCTGGTCCAAAACTACACCCCACCTCTTCCTGGCTCCGTGGCTACAGCCAAACCCTGCCAAATCCGGGGGAAGGGAGGCTGGAAAAGCAGATCCTCCAACCAGCTGAGCGGGGCGAGGGCAGGAAGGGCCAGTCACTCAGCACAGTATCTTAGCGATGGGGGCTCTAGGGAGAGCAGGGCACAAGCCGGCGGAGCTGCCCTGGTGGATCAGTGGGAGGCGAGCTGGCTGGGTGGGCTCGTTGGGCTGGGATGCCCGGGGGCCGGTGGGTACCAGGCGGATGTTTGGCAAGGTGTGGCTGTAGCCCTGTGTTGAGGATGCTCTAGGGAGGGAGTCTGGAGCCCTTGGTGGGCCGGGTCCTAGGCCCGTTCAGAGCCGCCGCCTCCCCCCCAGCGTCACACTGCATGAGCGCGCGGTCTCTGTGTGCCGCTGGCCTGTGCCCTCTGGCTCTAACGCCCTGTGTCTCTCCTTCCCTCCCCTGTCTGTCTCTGTCCCTCTTCCCCCAGACATCCGGCTGCGGGTGCGTGCCGAATTCTGCCAGCATGAGCCGGTCCTGCGGCAGAACGTGCTGTCCAACAAGCAGCACCGGCTGGAGCGCCAGTTCGACATCTTCGGCCAGTCCAACACCATCCTCAAGTCGCGCGACCTGGGCTCCATCATCTGCGACATCAAGTTCTCGGAGCTCTCCTACCTGGACGCCTTCTGGAGCGACTACATGAACGGCTCACTGCTGGAGGCCCTCAAGGGCGTCTTCCTCACCGAGTCCCTCAAGGACGCCGTGGGGCAGGAGGCCATCCGGCTGCTGGTCAACGTGGACGAGGATGACTATGAGGAGGGGCGCCGGCTGCTGCTGGAGAGCCTCGGCCCCCAGTGACGGCACCTGCGGGGCGGGGGCACAGCCTGGCCTCTGGGGAACTCGGCCTGGGTATGTAGCTCTTCCTACCCTTCCTGGGTGTTAGCCGGCCTCTTCTACCTTGGGAGCTAGCCACACGCAAGCACTGGGTCCCCCACGCCGTGCTAGCCACCATATCCCCCCCCCCGTTTTTTCTCTCTCTATACACACACACACACACACACAAACACACATCCACCCCACCCCCGTGCTAGCCACAGTCACCCTGGGTGCTAGCCGCAGCCTCCTTGTGTGGTAGCCCTCCTGCCCCAGGCCCGGCTGCTTCTGGGTGCTAGCAGAGGAATCCGACCAAGGTGGGGTAGGGAGGCATATTGGGGGGGGGGGTCCTCGTGCCATTGCCCTGAGTCCT